TAAATATTAAATAAGTAAAATAATAAGAAAAATTTTTTATTAAAAAAACCAAATTACAAAATCTGACTGATAGCCCAATACTCATTTATAATAAAGATAACTATTTACTTAAATAAGAGTTTAGACAACTTTTTGTTGCTGCTTTTTTTCATAAAAAATTTTAAAATAACTGTTATTTTCGGTCCCTGATAATAGTGATAGATTAGCGGTAAAAACCATAACTTATTTTATTTATTTATATATAAAAGAAATTAATTACATTTTATGCAATACATTTTTTATAATTTAAATATTCTTTTAAATTATCACCGTCTCGTCATATATATGTTATACATTGTGTCACAATACCATAAGTGGTCAGGTTGGCCGAGCGGTCTAAGGCGCCAGATTTAAGCTCTGGTTCCCGAGAGGGAGCGTGGGTTCGAACCCCACACCTGACAAAACTTTTTTCATAATTTTTTTTAATTTCTTTTTAATAAAAAATAAGCGTAATTTCATTATATTTTATTTAAAAGTGTAAATAAACTTCAATAAAAAAAAGTAAAATATGTATTTGCAAAATGTACATATATATAACGCAAAAACGGAAAAAAACCGGTTGATCATGAGAAAAGACGTCAGTGAATTTTATTGAGATTAATTAGTTGAGAGAATTCTATAATGTGTTTTAATACTATCTATCCACCAACAATTGAGAGTATTTTTTTGTTTTCATTCAGTTTATTCGCGACATTCGTCCAGTGCAAACGTGATAGGTGATAGACGATAAGAACTAAGATATTACTAAATTGTGAAAATATTTGTTAATTCAAAAGCAAACTAGAGAGTGTATTGTACCTCGCACCCCTTGAACCTCTTGACTATTTTTCGACAAAAATAAGTTTTCCTTTTTCAACATTATACTCGTATGTATTAATCTATCTACAAAAAGCGAAAAGAGCAGTTAAAAGATTTTAAAGAACTTCGAGCTGTTAAAAAATTCTAAATTGATTTTTATTAAAAATTTTTTTAAAATGATGAAAAACGTTATATGGAAAAATCGACTTGAAAGCAGAAGAATATCACCGAAATACTCGTCCATAATTTTCTTGTTAATTATGATAACTTGGACTCCAAGTCAAGGTAAGAAACCACAGAATTCCATTCGTACTTCTAAGAATTAAAGAAAAGTTAGGAAAAAAGTTCATTGTTTTTTATTTTTAATTTTTGGTTATTTATTGAAATAAGAATTTATGAAATATTTTAGTCCATTTAAATCGAAAAATTAAAACTAGTTTTATGGAAGTGCTTAACTGATCTGTTTGAAGGTAGCACACAAAAGACTGCTTACAGCTTTTGAACAACGGGGATCTGCATTTCCGATGAATTCGAAGCCTTCGCTTAAGACATCGAATTACAAACATTTGAATTCTAAACTTTGAAGAAGACTTTGTGTAAAATAGAATTAAGATATGTAGGCCGTATAGTTGATGCGAGGGCAACTTCAAGGTAAATGCAACCACTAGCCATACAAATCGTCAAAGTTTTCAACTCTGGTGTCTCATATGAACTTAAGTTACTTTCATTTTTAATCGCCAACTTAGTTAAGATAATTTAATCTCAACTTTATTTTTAGTGGAATATAAGTGTCATTTGATGTTTGGATCTTCATAATCAATTCTTACCTTTAATGAGATAACGAGGAGGCTAAATGCTATTCTTCTACTTAATGTAATAATTTAGAATAGTTGTCGTAGAAATAACTTTAATAATGCAGTTCACACTAGCTTAGTTTGGACTTCATTAATTCCAAACTTCATTTAAACTTAAACTTCATTTACGAACATAAAAATTTAATGAATTTAAAAAATATCTTATTTTTTTGTGTTACTGAAATCTGTTTGTTTATGTACTTAAGTTTTGCTTATCATTCTCTTCGTAATATTTAACAAACTCTTAGTTTTAATTTCATTGGCCTAAATAAAACGGCAATGAATTTCAGAAGAAACCACGTTTGTTTATCTCTTGGTTTTACTTGTTTTCGCATTGAGTATCTTGCCGATTGAGATAAAATTATTTGCCGCAATTATCATATATAAATGAAATGAAATTGTGCACAGGTGCCGGGTCAATTTATTACATCGATGCCGGTTAAAAGGACATGCTTATAAGTCATACATATGATATAACTTTGCTTTATATTGAACTGTATTAACATTTATTTAATAACTAATGGTAATCGCAGTTAAGTAAAAATTATTTTTTCGTAGAGATTGATTTCGAGTTCATCTCTTAAACTTCATTCATAGAATGCAAAATGTTATTGGTTGTTGTGATTATTATGGTACGATGGTCGTTATGTTGGATGCGAGATAGTCTATAAATCCTTAATATAAATAAAATTGATAAAGCAAGAAAAATTATTTTGCCTTTTATCGACGTATGTGCTGTTATGAAATTAACCAATTGAACAACAGGAGACAGTAGTCAGGTTGGCCGAGCGGTCTAAGGCGCCAGATTTAAGCTCTGGTTCCCGAGAGGGAGCGTGGGTTCGAACCCCACACCTGACAAGTAATTTTTTTTTTTTTAAATATTTACGTATCATAACGTAAATATGTACGTATCATAACTACTGTTTATTGATCGATAACTAATTTCAAGGATCAAGAAACAAATTTGATCTTGAAAAATTTAATGTACAATTGGCAAAAGGTTAAAAATTTCGTTTTAATTTTAGATATACTTAAAAATGTTCATGTATTTAAAATCAAGTATCCGATCTTATGTAGAAGTTAGACCAAACGGGTATAGTACGACTACAGCAACCTTTAATAAATGTATTTTTGAGCTTGAGCATTCTCAAGTAGGTAAGTAAAAATCGAGGTAAAATCGAAAGTCATCAATAACGTCAATTTAAATAGGATATGTAGGAATGTGAATAATATAAATGGTGGATTTGACACCTTTTAAGGTGACAGTCTTCTTCATATCAGTGACGGATTAAAGCCAATTCTGGACGTCGGCAACATCAAAATTGCGAGGCTCCTTTTATTACCGAGTTATAAAAGTAAAAAAACTACATTTACTAATTAATTAAATCAATTAAATTAGGTTAAAATAAATACAAATGATGCTTTTAGCCTTAATGAATATTTTTAAAATTATATCATAATTTTCACCAATTGATAGAATTGCCACTTGAGTCTCTCTTGGCTCATCGTACTTCTCCAGTAGTTCTTAATTAATTTTATCTTTGAGAATCTTCCTTCCTTCGATTTCAAAAGCAGCAGTGCCACATACAGTTAAAAAGGCTGAATGTCGCTGTTTTCACCATCCCGAAGTTTATACCTGAAGCATTAAAATGTTTGAAAATGTCTTCGTTTAGTATATTTTTCATATGATTAGTGTCATATATGAATTCAAATTGTTTTAAATATCCATTAAGTGTTTTAAATCAACAGTTGGTGTTAATTATGATAGCTTCTATCATTGAGGTTAAAAAGTTTACTGTTTACCGTATTTCAATCAATTGGATAGGTCATAATATATTCATAACTGAACAATCGTTGCTTCTTTGCTATTCTTTTTTCTTTAAATTCAGGTGCAATTTTATGGTTAAAACGTCCAACTTATTCAGGAAAAAAGTTGGTAACATCCACTTAGAAGAATTTAAGTGACAGAGGAAGGTATAGCCATTCTGTTTCTTTTAGCAAAAAAAGGGTTTCACAATAAAAATGATCTAGATTGCCAGATTTATCCGATGTCAATCAAATGACAGTTACCAAATCCTAATTGTTACCAATTCCATTAATTCACAACTCAGAATTGAATGATTCGTTTCAATAACAAAACAAAATCTGGTTCGTAACTACTTTTTTCTACAAACAATCGGACTTATTCAACGCGTTTTTGAAATCCAGTATTGCGATAGTCTTTTTATAAGTTTATTCCAGTCGATTGCTATAGTTTATTTATATTATTCACTCGTACCACATGTGAATTGCAACATTTAACTTGAAAGTTAGAATTTCATACAGAACTACGAACGCGTCTGTTTTATTTCTCAGATCATTCACGCATTCAATAACATTATCAAATTGCAAAATTATCGTTTTTATTGCTTCGATTCTACTGTCTCATCTTGTTTCAGAGAGAGATTTTAAAGTGGAATCGACTTTGCTCGACTTTAAAAAAAAGCAAATAGATTTTATTGATAAACCTGAGAAACAGTTGTTGCTGTAGGTTTGCTTAATGAATAAGGAGTGTAGGCCTCTCAATTGGAGCTACAGTAAATCTCACTTTCTGAGTGAGTATATGCTCTTGCATCTTTGAATTCGTTTGACAAAAACAAACCATAATTCCCACATTTAACAGAGTTGCGACTAGCACTGAATATCTCAATTGTTAAAAGAATTTCTTACTCACGTAATAAGAGACAAACAAATTCATATTTTTCTGGTAAGTGGAAAGTGTAGTTAAAGTTTTAAAAAATATATCCAACAAAATATCATCGATATCTACATGCTCATGGAAGTTTCAATTATATTATTTAGGTCGTGTGCGAGTTAGGCTAAGTTGCGTTCTATATGAGGGAAATTCTAAGTTGTGCCAAAAATGTGGTGATGTGTCGATACGTGTTGATAAATGTGTGCAGTGCAAAAAATCCCAAAAAATCTCCCATTTGGTTTAGCATCAACTTAGCCTAACTCGCACACGTCCTTAATACGTAAATATAGGTAAAGTGTGAAGAGCTTATTTATGCGTTTCATTTGTATAAATAGGAGGCCCTATTCCGATTTCTCTAATATTTAAAATTTATGTCAACTTCATTTCTTCTATTTTGTAATCTCTTACATATATTATATCGTAATTTATTATAATTATTTTTCACAATAAACGCACAATTCTGCACGTTGGAAAGCATGAACAAGTTGGAATTTAATCAAAAATAAAAAAAAAACTGCTTTCGTGAACAGATAAAGTGGCTAAGATATGAAATATTCAGATAAGAGTTGAATTTTTAATAAACATTGAAAAAATATTACGTCCTATATGATTATGAATCACACTAATATTGAGAGTGCACCACTTCGCTCCCCCCAGATTCGACAATTCAGTGTCCTCATCAATTATCTGTTCAAATCATTATACGTCATTTTGCAAAAACTGCATAAAGTCTTGAGCTATTTTAAAAATGTTCAAATGATTTTACAAAATAATAAATTACATTGTCAACTCAACTCAGTTTGGTTGGCCCCTTTCATCTCCACCCATTACGTTTGAAATGTAAGCATGTATGACCCTGTAAAAGTTTAAGCAACAGTTTTGAAATTTACAGTTTTACACAAAAAATATTTGCTCCATATGCTTTAAAACAAATTCCAATAAAGTGTTTGATTAGATTTTACACAGATACCGCAACGACATCAATAGAATTACAAAAAAATTACATAATCTGCATATTAAATATTTCAATTGATTTTTAAAATAACAATTGCGAATAATAACCGTGAAGGGGTCTTGGCGCTGAAGTCCTCCGTCAATAGCTTTAACAAGTTGAACCAAAACTATTTAATAAGTTTTTAATATCTGAAACTTCCAATTTATTACAAAGAAAAAGTAATTAGGGTATTGTTTCCTCTTTCACCTAAAAAGCAAAAGTCCATATCTGTACTTTCGTATGTAAACCCGAAATTCTTCTTGCAAATTAAGGACGTGTGCGAGTTAGGCTAAGTTGTGCCGACAATGTAGTATCGATACGTGTTGATAAATGGCTAAATGTGTGCAGGACAAAAAATCTCTCATTTGGTTTAGCATCAACTTAGCCTAACTCGCACACGTCCTAAAGATATTATTTGGCATTAGTTTTGTCTTATCATAGGAATTTATATTTGATTAGTATTCACATTAGCATGTAGAGATTTAAATCTACCTATTAAAGAAGTAATAAGATACCTAGAAATACCAGCTCCAGATCATCCTGATTCCCAAACATTTAACCTAATAAAGACTTTTAAATTATTTTTAAATTTGGTTACATGTGCAGAAATTTACTTTAATACGCCTGCAAATTCTTAAAGCTTTTAAGATTTAATAATTTGATTTCCAAAAATAAATGAGAGTATTAAAAAGATTTCAGTCTATTTTTACTTTTGACTCAAAGTTGTAATGACCTTTTCCGGCTCTATCTATAGCTGGGATATGACTCAGCGAGTACACCAGGGTTCGTTATAAGATTTAATTAAATAAAAGGGATACTTCTGCCTCGTGTTTGTATGTCAATAGTCTTTATTTTTAGTTTTCAATGATGCCAAATTTCAAATAGCACGAAGGATGAAGAAGAGTAAAAAGCTGCTAAAGATTTGGTGAAAACGTTTGTCAGCTATAGCCAGGCAATGGCTACGAATCATCGTGTGTCCAGACCAACTAGTCAGAGCTCCCACTGTTGTTCCTAGTAAACTTCTGTTGGTGATTTGACATTCATTTTTCCGTCAGCAATGGCCAGATGGAAATACGATTGGCTGATTATAACAAAATTCGAAGAATTTTGCTAGTAGTAAAGAAACCGGGAGATCTATGTTTCTAAGTTTACAGGGGCATTCGTCAATAAGAATGGATTTATAACAAAGAAATTAACAAAATTTAGAAAATGTGATTTACAGGATCATATATGAAGAGAAATGTATTTTTACTATTTGTAACTAGTTCAATGTGTGGGATTAAATTTTCCGTAAAATTTGGTCCTCACAAAGTATTCTAGAAAATGTTCTATCATTTACAAGAAATTTTAACTATAAATTATTACCTATTACCTGAAGATGCAGATTAAAAATTATGAATTTTCTTTTCAGCCTCTGCCAACCCTGTGAACTCCGCAACTAAATCGGAGAGCGATATTGCAAAAAAACATTTTGATGAAGTTAGCGATTTAAACGACAACTTACAATCGGATAAAGAAAATACAAATGTAAGTAAAACAACAAAAGCACAAATCTATACATTTTGAGATAGTAAGAATGGAAATTTTTTTAACTCTGTGTACGGGGCATTTACGATTTCAGTTTTAATCGTAGCTTTATTTTTTGTCAAAATATATATTTTTTGTTAAATAACCGGAACTTTTTTAAGAGAAGCACCCCTGTGTAATTCGTTTAAAAACGGAGAATTCAATACAAATTCTTTAAATATTTTCTGAAAATACCTTAAGTATTTGAAAGTAGCTTAGTCAGAATAAGGCCATTAAGAACAACAGTTAACGATGCAAACAAATTGTTACGCCGTGATTCCCATTCCCATTAATACTGAGTCTTCTGCGGCTTTAAGTGGAAGGTAGGCCAGTGTCTGCTGTTGAATAATAATTCATAACTTCGATGACGAAATGCGGTTTTCTCACACCACCGCATGAATCATGCTTTCATTGATTTTAGATTCGTAGAATAAAATTCATTTTAAATCGGAAATAAAGTTGAATTAGGGAATGCAGTGGATTAGTTTCAGCTCAGTTACGCTCTTTTTTAATTACGACAGAAGACGTACACACTCAATACAGAAGCGTTTTTTTATTATTATAAATATTTTTTTTTAATACGTCATCAACAAAGTGTACAATCTTTTTATTTACTTCAACTTATTTTGCTTAGATTTTGCATCCAAGTGATCCAATCATAAATTATTTAGAGTTTGCAGTCTTCCAATAATATTTAATATTTACTTTAAAATAATGGCAGGTAAAACTCGTGATATGTTAAAATGTTCACATCATTTAAAATGTTTCTACATATCCTCCTCAATTTACATATGTTTGTACTTTAGTCACAAATAGGAGCAGTTTCCTTATGGGTTATAATAATAAAGTTTGCTTCAAAAATTATCTAAAATTTTTCACGCGATTGCTGTCCTTTAATTATCAGTACAAAGACAGTATAATTGTAGGAAAATTTTGATTATTCATGCATTAAATTTGAATTTACATGGACAAAGTCCCATTCAAATTTATTAATGGTTTAATTTAATCATAATTCTCACTAAATTGAAATATTATATTAGTCTTCAATTACGATCAGATTGATTACAATAGCCCAATCTAAAGTTTGTGTTTCGTGATTTATTTTGTCTTTTAAATCTGTTGATAAAGTGTCATCATGAGTACTACTTTCCGGAATATAATAAATCTATTGTTAAATATCTTCTTAAATTTTTAGAATACGGATTTGCCTTTTTCTCATCGCGATGAGGTCCAAGAGAAGGAAGGCATCATTCTCAATGCAGATAACATTTTAAAATATGATGTTGAAATAATTGAATCGCGTGATATAAAAAAAGAGAATTTAGAAATAGAAGAGCGATTCAAGTAAGTCTGAAAACTGAAATCCATTAACTTTATTCAAATCAAATTTTTATTTCATTTTAATAATTCTTTTAACAGGGGTCCTGCTCTCGAAATGAATACGAATACTTTTGTATCGGAAAATATTGAACTCAATAGCGGAACTGTAGACTACAGCGCAATGAAAGACAGCCATGTGGTGTTGACTGTTATCCTAGTATTGGTTGCATTGGTCTCGATCAGTTTATATGTTTTCTTAGTAATTTGGCGTTCACATTTGGAGTGAGTCAGAGCATAATTTCTATACATATAATTATATATTATGTTAAATTTTTATTGCATTCCACAGAGAACGTTACGGTATGCGGGAACTACTCGTGGTGAACACTGATGAGGATGTCTATCAGTCCAGTAACATGGCCTGTAACACTAGCACAATTGATGAAAACATCTCAAATATACGCCATCTCACTTTTATCCGCACATGATCCACAACAACAACTACACCTGCAGCAACTACTAATTTGTTATTAAAATGAAGTGCAAATTTTCCAGCTTTGTTATTGCAATTAAAAATTCTATTCGGAAAACTCGTAATGCCGTAAACTGAACTTTCGCGGTAATCAGAACATTTTTGTATTTTAATATTTTAAATAATTTAATTTAAAACTCGAACAATTGAAAAATTGCAAATGAATTGCATTATTGAAATAGTCATATTGGAAATTCCACCATCACAGACCTCACACATTAATTCCGAATCGTTTAGTGTCATCGATTGTTGTTATTTTGAAACGTAAGCCTCATTTGTAACAAAATAGAATGTAAAATGTATTAAGAATTTTTTTAAGTAAACTAACTACTGTTGTTATTAGTGTTTTCAAACAGGAAAACCACTTTGAAAGTATGAGAACGCTATAGTTTTAAGCTGTGATATTGAAATAGAAATCTTACTAACAAACTTTGATTAAAAGAAATTATAAAATTTGTTATATCAGAAAATGATTTTTATTTAAAAAATAAAAAAATTTGTATATAAAATTAAAATTTACTTACTTATCTTACTTATGCCATCTATAGTTGAAGTCAGAGTTCCTAAAAATTAAGCACATCTATTTAATCGAAGCACGAAGCACTTTAGTACAATTCCATGCATCGTTGGTATGCTATTCACGCGAGGGGAGAATATCGATTGGCTATTATAATAACAGTACTATTATAACTTATTGGCGTTTAAAGGTTAGTAAGTATCTAATTGCTTTTGCAGCCATTCTAATAAATACTAAAGTATTAATAAAATGCTACCACAAAGTCAATAGAGATTTTTAATGCTGGTTAATGAGTTTTGGAACTATGAATTGTCACACGTAAACAGCCAACAGTCGGTAATCAAGTAATTAAACCCGAAAACGCTCACAGCATTCTCTCTGGAATATAATTCTTGAAATTCACTTTTCATTAATTGAAAAATTTAAAGTTTCTAAACTAAACTTATGTTAAGTTCATCTATGATTTCTATGAGATGTGACGTAAGAGACATGATCTGTCTAGGTCATATAAGAGTTCTTTATACCCATGCTTCTTCTTTTTTTGTCTAGTCATCTAAATTCAAGTCGACGGTTTTTATCCGATAACTCTATGTTACATGGTGCTGGATTGTCTTATCATTCCGATTCTTTAAATCCATTGTTGTTAGTAAATTAGAAGTCGAAATAAAAAATATCACGGTTTTCGTATACTGGAAAAACTAGAACACAAATTAAAATATTTAACTTTAAATTCTTCAACTAACAATAATATTAAATGCACTTACTGTTATAAAATATTTACCAACTTACTGTTTGGAATTCCACTTTAACTGATATATGTATCTGCAAAGGTAGACTATCTTAACAATTGATTTGGCGTTTACATTTAGAGTGAGTCAGAGCGTAACTTTAATGCATTTAATTAGTTATTATGTTAAACAATTATTTTATTTATTGCATCCCACAGACAATGTTATGGTATGAAGAAACTGCCCATGGTAAAGTTTTAATAAAACTAAGACTTGAATCATAAAACAAATCATATCCACGTAATAGAAAATTTTTTCTTTAAATGCGCTTTAACTATATTTAAGCATAAACGTTTCATTTTTATATTGTATACATGTACTAGTAGAAATAATAATATACCCACATTTCATTCATTAACTTCATTGCTAGTTTAATTAAAATATTGTACTTTCTTCACAGCTGTGTTGCGCTGTGTGTGTGAAAATTATGATACTTTGGTGAACCTTGACAACTAGAGGGCAGTACTAAACCTTTACAACAGTGTTTTAGTGAAGATAGTTACATCATTAAATTATGTTTGGTTTTACTATAATTACTATAAATACTTAACAAAATTACATAAAAATATTTCATAATTTTTATGTTCTGTAATGCACACACTCTGTAAAATTATTCATAATGAAAAATGCATTTTTGCATTTTTTGCATTTTGTGAGATGGCAACACTATGTGAACATATGCCGATCAGCTGATTAAAACAAATTATATGTTCAACGAAAACTCAACAAGCACAAATTAAGAAAACATTTCACCTGAACTTTGAACCCCTTCAGCAGTGCGCTTGCTCATAAATAATGAAAAACAACAGGCAGGAAAATGTATTCCATGTGAAAAATTAGATATTTTCTGAAGTTGGTCGGAGAAGTAAGAAAGTCGCGGGTGATTTTTTCCATTAATTATATATTGTATATCTTGACATAAAATTTGTATTATTCTATTCTAATTGTTGGAATAAGTTGAAATAATATATTGTGATTTATGTGAAAAATTATGTTTTTTTTAATCTTTTATTGAAGTGTTTATCTATATTTTAAAATAAATTGCTTTATTCACAATTCAGAGGTTAGTAACAGTGAGCACGTTAAAAAATATTTTTTTTAAATATCTATACAATGGTATTAATACTTTCTATTTGTATAATGAAATTGAAACCATATTTTAATTAACTAATGCAAATTAAAAACTTGAAATAACTATTTTTAATTAAACTGAAAATATTGAGCGAGTTACCAACTCCTGGTTACCAATTAATATATTGAAATAACTTTATTTACTTTTCTGTACGATATGGAAAAATAATCGTCTGAATCTGAATCGCTTAAAAGATGTCCAAATAATCAAGTCCATTAGTTGGTAAAATATTAAAAAAAATATGTAACTTCAGTTTTTAAATAAAATTTTGATTTTTAAACAGTCGGTGGTTCATTTAAAAGTTCAATGTGTAAATTAAAAAGTTTTCATAAACAGTAATATAATATATATCATAATTTTATTATAAAAGTGGCGTAAAAACTATTCGAACTAAAAACTTTTACTTACATTTAATAAACAAAGACTAGGAATTACATGGCTTTGTGATTTTATTTTAGTTCAGAAGACAATGCAACAGATCCCTTCTCTGCTTTAATATCTGCAACACAAACCATATTTGCTAAATAACAACGCGAATAGGCACCGGCGATTACACACCACCGAATTACGGTGGAAGGATCGGAAGTATTAAATTGTGCATGTTATCTTTTTACTTACAAGCCAAAAAAGTATTCAATCCACAAATTGTGATCGTATACCAATAGCGTTGTGAATTACAGTCCTACCACTGCACCGCACCGCTGTCGCCGCTACCCTGTAAGTTTTCATCATGACACATTGGGAAGATTTCTACAACACTCACCTGCCACCAACGGATTTCGAGGATAATCGCTCGCTATTGAAAGAATTTTGTGAACGACACAATAAATTGCACAACAGAATCGTCCTTGTAACAGTAAGTTTGAATTAATTGTAATGAAATGTTTTTTTTTCCTAGTCAATAATTGTTGACTAACCACAAATAATTGGTGAGATATAAGGTTACGGGCGTATTCTGGCCACTAATGGAAAATTATTCTATTTTTCTGTTAAGCATTGAAATATGTAGTCGAATGATGGGAAATTGACTTTTTAAATGAAATAAGAACACGTAGGCTCCTAATAAGCCTAAGTGTTGATGTTTTATCACAAATAAGAACATACATGCATACTGTATGATGGGGCTGTCGTTGCAAATGTATATTTGTATCAGTGGCGACGCGTGCCCTATCTGGAAGGGTGTGCGGCTCTTCTACAATGTTGTTTTTACATGTACCACTTAAATTGAAAATGTTAAATTGAAATATAAAAGCTGTTTTATAATAATAACTATATTACATTAGGCAACAATATATTCACAATATAACATTTAACAATTCATTAACAAAAGAACATAAAACATAACATAAAAGTTAATAAATTATATATAAGTCAAATATGACATCAATATGGAATAAGTAGAACTTTTCAGATATATCTTATAACATCAAACCAACTTTTTTCAAACAAAAGAGTTTGTACTTTGAACCATACATGTTTATGTAGTGATCAAACAATCGAACACACTTGCAACGTATAAATGTGCGGCCAGCTACTCCGCACACAAAGTGGTTATTGCAACAGCTAAAAGGGGAGAGACGAAATTTGAAAGAAATGTATGGTATAGTGATGTGAGCTGCAAACTTTAGCCGCACATCTAACCGCTTCGGCAAGTCAACATGTTGAATTGTTATACATGTAGTCGATATTCGAATAGAACAGAAAATACTCTCATACAATTCCCAATATCTATTTCTTTTATTTTATGACATACTTATGACAGAAATTTATGAATGCAATTGCTTAAAGGGGAAAGACAAAATGTGATAGAAATGTTTAAGGATATGATGTATACATGTTACTCTACAAACCTTTGTCATTCCTTTGAAAATATACGAGTATAATTAAGAAATTGTTTTAAAATAGTTTAGTTCTTCAGTTTCAGTTGTATATTATATATTACTTGAGTCTTGGGCTTCCTTACAACATTCCTTAGGTCACAATTGTCTCTCGCAATTTTAATATAACTTCATTTTTTTAAGGATCTATAAGTAAAGATAACTGATACCTATTACAGAAGTTAGTAATTTACCAATATTTAGTATTTAACATTACAACATTGAAGAAAAAGAAAGAGAATACAAAAAATCTGTCATATTATTTAACAGTTCACATCTTGTACTATTAATTTTTTTTAACTTTTAGTCAGGTGGCACTACCGTCCCTTTAGAACATAACACGGTTCGGTTCGTAGATAATTTTAGTGCGGGAACTAGAGGCTCATCATCAGCCGAATACTTTTTAGATCATGATTATGCAGTTATATTCATGCATCGCCAAAAATCTCTAGAACCTTTCACTCGTCATTTTACTGGACAGCAATTCTTTGACATGCTAGAAATTAGTGATAATGGACACAGTACATCAATTACAGTGAATCCAGATTCGGTCGATGTGTTTGCACCAATTTTGGCCAAATACAAACAAGCACGAGAATCCCAAATGATTCTCTATGTAAGCTTCACGAGTGTTGTGGATTATATGTGGTTGCTGCGTGCGGGATGTGAGTGCTTAGCTGCATTTGATGAACGAGCGCTGTTGTATTTGGCGGCAGCCGTATCGGACTTTTACATTCCACAGGATATGATGGTAAGTCTTTTTAAACATCAATTTTTTCATATCGAATACACAAAGTTTTGCATATGTCACGCTGTAGTCTTACGCTCTAGTTATAATTGTTTCACTTTAATTTGGCAAGAACGCAAATGTTTATTAATTGGTTTTATTGATTTGATAAAACACTGTTCGATGATTCACTGCGAGTAAGTACGAGTATGTCTATTTAGTGTTGGGCTCGCTTTATCAATACCGATGTATGTTATTTTAATAATTACATTTATGCACACAAGTGGAAAATGCTTTACAAACTTTTCTACTGCCGACTGGAATTTGCATATTCAATTATTATTTCACTCTTTGAAGTAATCTAATGAATTTAAA